AGAATGCCGTTCGGTTTCGCGCTGCTCGAAAACTGGCCGGAGAAGAACGCGGGGCTCGTTTTAAAGCATCTGTCCGCGCCATGTGCAGTTTCGTATTGCGAACGGTCCCTGTATCGAAAACTGTTTATTCCGCGATTTGTCCCGTGAAACACGGCCGTGCTCCGCGGAACGTTGGAAAGAGATAATTATTTAACGGTAGTTGGTACATTTATCGTCACCTTCGATTGGTGATATCGGTGTTTAATACGGTTTGACAATTTCCCAGGACAAATACAGAGCAATAATTTTAATAATTAATTTCAAAATGATTGTAGATGCTTATAGAAATTGTTTGTTTATTCGTATTAAATGGTAATCGCATTAGCACCAAATTTAATTGAAATTCGCTATATTGGCAGCTGTATTGTCCTTGTGTTTATCAAGATTACATGTTAGTAACTTCGTTAAGGTCGTTCAATATTTTCAAACTGGAAATTGATTGAAAGTAGTAATATATTTTTATGCCATTTATTTCCAATTATATTTTGTCATCTTTTTACGCGTAACAATCTGTTTCTTTTATTATTATTAGCATAACGATACATTGTATTGATATAAGAGTCACGATGAAATCTGCTTTAAAATATTCAACCATCTCACGAGATTGCTATATCGATTATTTTGAGCAGTACAACCCCTCGTATCCTATCTTGGTCTGGCCAAAGCACATTCTTCAAAGGAGGGTGGCCAACCTTGTTCTCAATGAAATCTTAGACAGATACCATCTCTTAGTTTATGAAATATCAAACAAATCCCGTGAATACTTCCGTGGTTTCTTGCATAGACAATGCTTATGTTCTTGTGCACCAATAATTTGTCCAGCCACCCCAAGATAGAAATCAATGTAATAGCAATTAAAAATCTAAATAGCTTCATTGCAAAACACTTCACAAATTCAAATTCTACAAGTCTTATAGAAAATTATAAAACAAATTATTTCATATTGCTACGATTAACATATAAATCGTCGACATTTCATTTTTCAAATAACGCACGTTAGTTTAGCAGCAAAATTAATTTTCGTTGCAGACGAAACACGTAAAGATGACGACTATCGATTGTTGATGAAACTTCGATGAAAAGTGACTCAAATTTCTTCGAATTTGTTGTAAGCGGCCGAAGTTTCCGCGCGGTTACGCGATTACCGAGGTTTGACGGGTCCTTCGGTGTACCAGAAGACAAAATAGTTATACGCGGGACAGGAAGTCTTGAGCACCGTTCCACAACTAAACGCAGTAATGGCGCCTTGCATAGTTGATCATAGTTAGGAAACTTAGGAAGCTAGAGCTATACGTCGACTCTCGCCGCCCCTAGAAATTTTGGGTTCGGTATCTGTGCTGGAAATATCGAGGACGACAACGACGGGAGGGATACTCCGGCCGCTTGAAGGGGATAAATCGTTCGAAAGTACATTACGTCGGATCATTTACACAGCAATTTATTGGTTATTTACTCGTTGCCGCGGTTGTTTGTCTTCTTTATTTATTTTCATGTCAAATAAAGCGCGTCTAACATCTCTAATGTTTACAAAATTGATGCAACGATCAGTAATGTTATCTCAGCGGGAATAATGAAAGGGATTAATGTCTTTCCCGTAATAAAACCGTTGTGAACGCGTTGCGAACTGTTCAACATTCTGTCTTCGTATTATTTGCAATTTATTACTATGTTATTTCGATTTCACGTTCGTCTATTGC